AACGAATTCAACCCACTTTTATTAGTGTTAATTGCCTTTTTTGACTCAGCCACTACGATTGCATGGTACTTGAAACATCTGGCTGAGTTTAGGCTTTTTGTGTGTGAAATCAGATATGTATAATGGAGGTTGCAAGAAAGATAAGTCTAACTTCTGCTCAATTACTGAGTAGGCCAAAAAAAAGAATAATTTTGTCAGTTCTCACATCTATTGCCTTCACGGACACACTTACATACAGTGGTTAAGTAGGTTCAGCAACTGATATGTAAGGCGACTCATCGAAAACAAGTTTTTTGTGAAATCAGTAATGCTACAAAGAAAAACTGGTATAACCTCATTTTTTATCAATATTTTAGCCACAGTACTTAATGAATTTGGTGTCTAGACCGACTAGATCCGCTGGCTTGCGCATCCCAAATCTGTCTTGCTTTATCCGAGCGCCTCAAGATCACACCCAGCCGGCACATAGTTGTGGCATCGATGATGCGCCTGTCGGAAAGGCAGCAGAAGTTGCGTTTGCCAGAAAAGCTTGACGTTTTTCAATGCATATTTGAGCAAACAACAGAAACATCGAACATAAGAATCAATTTTATTAACCAACTTGATGAAAGAATTGCATTTACCATGGAGGTGGAGAAAGATGGACGACTACCCTTTCTGGATATTGAAGACATGCGCTCCAACGGGACACTGAGGAGGAGACTATACATAAAGCATTAATATGCGGGAATAATCCTTAATTTTCAGTCTCACCATAACTACAGACTGAAGATGGGAATACTGAGAAGTTTGATCATCAGAAGCTTACGACTAACGGACAGTGAGTTTTGGGACGAGGAATTGGGCAAACTGTCAGGAATTTGCCTTAGTAACGGCTATTATAGAGAATTTATAGAAAAAATGCAGAGGTTATAAAGGGCAGATTTTAACTCGGATTTTAAGAAAATCAGATCAGGAATTAGGAGGACGACCAGAAGTGGATTTGCCTGCCCTCATCAGAACTGAGGCAACAATTGCGACTGTTACTAAGGAAATGAAAGATCAAGGTGATAACTAGGGAGAAGAGAACACTTTTCACCAGTCTGTCGAGGCAACACAAGAAGATGGACTAACTTGATTGCTCCGGAGTTTATCGCATCGAATGCGGCAACTGTGAGCAGAAATGTATCTGTGAAATAGGAATAAAAATCGGCCTACGAATCAAGGAAGATCAAAGACTCTGCAGGAACATGGATACGGAAAGATCCGAAATAGCGAAACAGATTACACGAACATGGCACGAAATAGACTGGAAATCGACCAAAATGTTGGCTGCGTGTGGTAAAAATGCGAGAAAACGCAAGATCCGAGAGGCCATCGATATACTGACCGAGAGAAATCTAATGAAGAGGAGACTTGTAGAAGAAAGGATAAGAAAAAACTGTGTATATTGCCTAAACAAACTTTTAGAAGACTAAGCAGCAGTAAAATCAGCAAAAGGAAGACGACTGGATCAAGTTAGCATTCATTACTTTAAGAAAAGAAGTGGGTTGACCTCGTTGTCGCAACTTGGTCTTGTGTTCAAGGGGACTATGTAGAAAGCACCGAGTCCGAAGTCGTCTGCCATAGTAGTTGTCATGATTCCCAGCATCTGACAGTGGACTTGATACA